CGCCGTACACCCCCCTAATATTTGATCCTTCGCGCGGGCCCTGCCTACATCCATACCCGTTTTTTGTCTTCCTATTCGAATTTATAGAGCCTTGAACGTCAGTACTCTAGTTTTGACTTCGAATCTTAACGTAGTTCTCTAATGCAAAAAACAAAACGCAACATTTATGAAAAACTTTAAAATTACTTCTGAGACCAATGGCATATCCAGGAATTTTTTGGTCATGGGTCGTTTCAAAGCAAAATTATTTTGAGGAGTGGGTAACCAAGGGCAATTAAAAATTAATTGGACTATAGTTTTTCTAAAGGTGACTGCCATCACAAAAACCAATTTTCATCGAAGAGAACTTCGCTACTCTCAACTAAGAGGCTACAGTGAATGTTCGTAACAAGATCTGCTTTTCTTTGAAGACTCGAAAGTGTTCTTTCTGTTTCAGACAACTTGAAAGAAAATTATAATATTATAATATTATTGAGTAAAGAAAAGTCTGCTGAATCGAATGATGCAAAACTTATTCAATTATCTTCAAAAATTAAATGAGTAATTAGCGGTAGTTTGCGACTAGTTCGTATGAGGAGCACTGTTCCTAATTCGACTAGCAAGGAAAAAAATGTCGCTAATAAGAAACATCTATGTAAGATACATAGAAAATGAAATATTTTTAGTAGATGGATGCTTTTGCTATCTAAAGTTGAAGATTTCTTTCTACTTTCATCAGAAACATATTCCTTCACAGATGGTGCATTAACTTTTCAACCGGTTTAAGGCAAGTCGATTTTTTTTTCCTTTTTATTACTGACATTAATTAAAAACCACCGCATTACTAGCAAATAATTAACTGTAATAACTCAATTATAATGTCGTATTGATCAAAATTATAAAAACTTGTGTTATAACTACATTCTTTGGTTTTACAAGTGTGCTCCCCTTATTATAAAAATAGTTCTACGAAAATTTTAATAAGACATCGAGAGAAATTGTGTGTTAGGCACAATATTGAAAAAAGATCATAATTGCAAGTAAGACTAGAAGAAAATTAGATTCAAATAAGTAAAAGATGACAAAACAAAGCAAGTTTTTACTGCTGCTGGATTCATCTTGATGTAGTTACTTCAACATATATGTGTGTCACAAACAAAAATCGAATTTTAGGTAAAAAAAGTTTACAATAGAAGGTCATGTAATAATGTAAGTTAAGAAAATTAATTATATTCGAATCAAATTAATGATCTCACTATCGAACTAAGTGTTTTAAATTATAAGTTGCGCATAGTATATACAGACCGAAGTATTCGAATTCCCAAGATATTCAATTTGCCATATGACCACATTACAAAATTACAACAGCATATATTTTTCTTTTTTCTTCATGGTTGGATGGAGCAGGACGAGCTACATAAGAAAAAGCAATACTACGCACATTAAAAACCAATTTTACAATCACCAGAATTTGTGTCCATTAACCTTGTATTTATCAATAATGTTTTCTTGGACTTCGTAAAATTAGTTTTTAATGCACGTAATATTGGTTTTTTAATATAGCTCCTCGTGCTCCATCCAACCATGAAGAAAAAAGAAAAATATATGCTGCTGTAATTTTTTAATGTGGCCATATGGCAAATTGAATATTTTTGAAATTCGAATACCTCGATCTGTATATACTATACGCAACTCATAATGTAAATCACTTTGTCTGTGACACACATATATGTTGAACTAACTACATCAAGATGAATCCAGCAGCAATTAAAACTTGTTTAGTGTTTTAGTTGCTTTTGTCTGTTGAATAATTAATAAAATTTGATAAGTATGAACTGGACGAAGATCTTCAAGCAAATTTCTACTTTTTGATCTAATAACGTTATTATTTTTGCAAAAGTTTCTTCTTCATATAATTAATTGTTATTCTAGTTTTACTTAACGTTTCGAACGAATATACTATCATTCTTCAGAAGAAATGTAATCATATGAACTTTCTTTACATATATACACATAGTGAATTTTGTTTGGTTCTTCCATTTTTATTTAATTATAATTTCATTGTCATTCGTCTAGCTGGCAATAAATGACTTTCAATCAACCTATGTATGATGAATTCGTGTTCCCGTGGCCTATTATAATAGTCTGTAATCATTACGATCTCTCAGAATGATCGCGAAATTCTTACAACACGCAGTGGTGCATAAGTCGCTCTGTTGGCACATGTACCGGAGATGTCTCAGTTATAATCTCATCAGAAGTTATAAATTGATTATTTTTCATAACTTATTGCTCTAATTCAATATTTTCATTAGTTATTTAAATATGTTCTATGCTATGCCTTTGAGAAAATTAAATTATGAGCAAAGATATATTGCTGTTTATTGAACTTCTCGAAATTCGTTATTATTATTGGATTAGAAACTATATGTTCGCTCCATTGAAGTCTCGCCCGAGTTGTTCTTTCACACAAGAATATTGTATAAGGCACTAAATGATTAAGATGTCTTTAATATATAATAAATCTCAAATATTTATCATAAAATCTTAGATGAATTTTGAAACATTTATCTTTTATCTCTTCTGACCCAAATTTTGTTGATTTAGAAACTATCAGCTACTATGGAAATTCCCAAAGTTATATATTTCAAGTGATGATTTATTATTGAATGCGCATATATTTATTTGAAAAAAAAAAACAATTTTTATAGAAATTACAAAGTCATATATGTTCGAATAATATGTCGAGCAAATTTTTCATTTTTACTTGCTTTATAAATTAAAGCAAGATTATAAGCTGCTTGATATTTTAATCCATATATATCATTATTATCAATAATAGGTGATTCTGTTTCTAAACATTTATGATAAAAATAGGCAGCAGCATAATGTAACGAAAGAAAATGCATTAAACGACCTATATTATAATATGTTTCTGTACATTCTCCACGTATATTTCTATATTTTTTAAGAAAAGCAAGTGCATGTAGAACACGTTGATGTCTTGAATAAGCATATTTTTGACAAGCAACATGCACAAATGAAATAGCAAGTAATAATGAAACAAGTGGTTCATCAGGTGTTAAACGAAATAATTTCATATAATGAATTATTGCTAAACGATATGTTCCACCAATTAATGCAAAATTACCAACCATATGATGAAGTATTGGTGAATTAGGTCGTTTTTGTAATGAACGTACACAAAATTTTTGTAAACGAACACTTGGTGTTATTGTTGCTGTTAAGGCAAATAAATTTTGTATAACTGTTGATTTTGAATAACAACGAAAAATTTCTCGACATGTTTGAAATGCAAGGTCACCATTTTGTTGTAACATTAAACTGATGAATAATAAAAATTCAGTAAGAATAAGCCTAGAAAGAAAGAAAAAAATCAATTGTTTTGATTCAGATAACCATAACGAATATAACTGTTGATATTCAACAGTAACACTCGACTTTTCAACAAAGTCATTGACAAATGTTCTAGATAGCTAAGTTGTATGAATTATAGATGTTCATCGTGATTGGAACGTTACCTCTCCTACGTCACTGACTTTTTGTCATAAATTTTAATTCTAATTTGTACATTTCAAGCAATAAAAACCTTTCAAAAATCTTTGTACATGCTTAGAATAACATCAATGACGAAATCTAATTTCATAATTGCTGAAAAATAAAAGCTTAAATCAGACGTAAATAGCAATCTTACGAGAGAACGTTCGCTACTGTCGAACCTTTTTTTTTTTTACTTGTGATGATGACCAATCGATCGATCATGATAAGCGAAAAAGTCTGTCTTCCTTCGGTTTTACAGTCTTCACTCGCTGAGTTATGAGTATAGAATCGCTGAGAACCTAGTCGATCGAATTTCGGACTGAAATTTTGTCCATAGATAGACCTTGTAGTCACTAGAGGTACTTCAATGTTCAAGGTGAGACAAACGTTTTCATATCGAGATATCAGCTTGACATAGAAACGTTCTTCTTTGAAAACACAGATGAAAATAGGCGTTTTTAAAAAATATATCTTAGTAAGGATACGCTTATTCTAGCTTAAACTTTACAAAGTATCTAATGACTATAAGACTGATTTGTCAATAAAAATTCAATTCAAAATTTGATCATCCATGTTCTTAGCGATTCTATACTCATAGGACAAAAAAAAATTGACAAGTGAAGATCAGAAAATCAAATCAAAACAGACTTTTTCATTAATTACCATTACTGATTAAATTGCTATAGTCACAAGCGAAAAGCGATTAAACAGTTAAGATAAAAATCTCACAAACAGACTAAACATTCAACAATAATATATGACTACTTTAATCTAATGTATTATTTTATTTTGAAAATATCACATGTCTTTCGAAGAATTACAAAGAATGTAAGTCTAGGTTAAAGATTTTTTTTTTCTTTGGTTCTTTATTAAGCCATAGCAATCAGAATTCAAAAGAGTATAGATTTTATTCCAAAAACAAACAATGAATCTACAACGAGTATAAAAATTACTTTAAAACTAATGTAAGAACTTTCTTTTCTAAGAGACTTTTTCGTTCATTCAAAACGATTGTTAATATTATTCTTTGTTCATAGCATCTACTTATTTTATGCTATTGAAAAATGTTTACGAAAAAAAAAAGAAAGAATGTAAACAATACCAATCAATTCTTGCATAAAGAAATGGAATAACTGTTCCAGCTGCAGTAACTCTTAATAGAAGATCATGTCGTTTAACATGTATAAGTACATCACAAAATTTTCCATATAAGTCAATAATACGATTTTTTAATACTGTATTTATTCTTGTATATGATGGATTTAATATAATACGTTTTTCATCAACTAACTTTTGTATTAATTCAAGACGACGTGCTCGTGTTCCACAATTAATTAAACGTTTTGAACAATCAATTGTTAATAAATATTTAATTGAACCAAAAAATAATTGCATTGCACATGGAATAAAATATGTTAATTGATTTTGATCATAAAGTGTTATACAACGTTCAACTAATAAATGAATTTTTTCAACAGTTACTTCTTGTTGTTCATCATCATCATCATTTTCATCATGAAAATCTGTTTTTTCATTTAATTCTTGTTTTATTGGTCGACTAACAACTTCAGCTAATGTATGTTGACTTTGTTCATTCATTCCAATTTGTTTTTGTAATGCTGATAATGATAAACGTGCTTCATTATATTGTGAATCAAGTCTTAATGTTTGTTCAAGTGCTTCATATGCTTCATGAAATTTTGATAATGATGTTAACCATTCCGAATATTGAAACCATGATTGAGCTGATAATTTTGATAATGATGATAGATGTTCAAATAGTTGACATGCTTCAATAAGATGATCATTTAATGCAAGAGCAGACATTACATCAAGACATAATAATTGATCTGTTGAACGTACAATTGACTTATAATTAGGTAAAAGACGCTAGAGAAAAATAATACAAGAAAACAAATTATATTTGTTTTGTATTATAAAATTGATAATTTACCAATGCTACTGATACACAACCCACATCAATAATTGCAACAAGAAACATACCATAATAATCTGTTCGATAAAATTCTGGTAAAAGAAAACTAAATAAAAAAAAAACTACTTAGTACATCTTGTAGATCTTAATCAACTATGTGTAGCGTAAAAAAAAACGTTTATCTTTATGGTCTATTTTTCCGTGGAGATCAAAAATACGAGTTTTCAGAAAGTCTGGGACATGTCAAAAAAAACAGTAGTTTAGTCAAACCCAAATTCATTTAGAGTTTTTATTAAAACAACACATAGTATCTATAGGTGAACAATCATTAAAATTGGAAGGAAACATCTGAGCAGATACTCTCACCTGTTTTTTCAAGATAAGAAGTGCTCAAAAAAATACACGTTGTATTTACTATCTATGGAAATGAGCTAATATCTTGAAAGTTTCATAACTCGTATACACTAAGTCCAAAAATTTTGAAATATTTTATACAAGTAAGTCTACTTGAGATCTTTCTATGGACAAATATTCAGATCGAAAGTCAACAATATTATCTTCCTGCAAATGTAGAGTTCTACAGTAAGAATACACTAAGAAAGGTTCTGTACCCTCAGAAACAGGACATCAATATGAACCCATTTTACGGTAGACATAATTCATTAAGTGCCAGCTACAAAGTGAACTAACATTTGAGAATATTCCACTCATAAGATATACGATATTTTTAATGAAACGAGTCATAACACACGACGGCGCATCATCTTACTAGAGAATTTCCTTTTCGATGCATCTTTCATTCTTTCTATTATAATATGATCAGATTAGGTCATGTATGCATTCGTCATGTAGAAGAAAAAACATCAGCTGACGTAAAAATCTAGACTTCTGAAAACATAGTAGACAATCATTCCCTTGGTAGATAAAAGATTAGTCTGTCATCGAATACTTCTTATACAATGATTTCAACTCTCGAAACATGCTATTCGTATACTAGCTGTCTACAATATATTCTCAAAAACCAAAGCTAAAATAGAAAGTGTATGTTCGAACAAATAAAGTGTAGGACACACTTTAATTTAAACAATACAAAATTGACTATCAACTGAGTATATCCAAAGATCTCACACAGTACTTTTAAGTTACATAATAGACAATTTAAACGTAGGATAGAAAGTTTAGCCTGAATAGTATCATGTATGAACCGATTGTGGTGACTATAAGTTTGATAATCGTATCAAATTCTTTAAAGTCAAAACAAAAAAAAACTTAGTTTTAACCCTTAGAGTCCTGAATTTTTTCTATCCAACCTAATTTGATGAAACCACTAGGAATGATAGAGCTAGGTGTGCTAATGAAGTTCCACTATAGGACAGATTTTGTAAATCCCATATTTTTATCCGAGGGTGGGTGCAAAATTGGGAAAAATTCGAGAGTAGGCTCCAAAGATGTCTTTGCCATTTGGCTCAGGAACAAGCTACAGANAAAAGCGTTTTCTCTCATAATAAAACAAAAGCTCAGCTATTATACACTATTCGATAGAGAATTTCACGGGCTACAAAATGGTATATAAAACATTAAGGAACAAGAAGGCTAAGTCACCTATTGCAAAGATACTTAAACAAAAATTGCTTTTTACTTTTTGAAGTACAAATAACACTCGGATTTAAATCCGAGGTTTCCACATTTATTTATTATTATGACAAAAATTATTTTATCCGATGAAAATACCATGAAGATATTTCATTATTTTCTTTTATTAGTGTATTTCTGAAATAAAACCGGGTTCGGAATATTTGAACTTAATGAGTTCTAATTAGTTAACATAGAAAACGATCATATGTTTTCTCGAGATTATAAGTTTATGATTATTATTGTTTTAAAAACAAAATTTGAAATACATTTACAAAAACTATTAAAGATTTTAATATTATACTTTTATTAAAGTTTTCAATTTATCAACTTAATAATAGATTAATCCTTGTTGTAACAAATGAAAAAAAAAACACTTACTATTATTATAACAAGTCGTTACTAAATCATCAGCTTTACGTTGTTGACATTCAGCAAGCATTCGAAGCCATAAATCTTTTGAACGTTGACAATGAGCAGCAACAAAATTCATCTTCAAGAACAAAAAAAAAAAAGAATATATTAAACCTGTTCTTTAAAAAATATTTCATTTACTTCAAATGCTTTATTATGATCATTTTGATCTTCATATATACGTGCAATTGTTAAATAAGGTTCAGCAGCATTTGGAACTAACAAAAGAAAGACAATAATAAATAGAATATTTATTTGAATAGAACATTTTAACCATTTGTAACCACTTCTTGACATATTGTTAATGCTTTTTGAATATCACCATGAACATAAGCCATATTAGCTTCACCCATTAATGCTTGATATTCTTGATTGAGACGACTTTTTGGTACTTTTTCAGACTAAAATAAAACTTTTAACTTTAATCAAATAAATACAAAAAAAAAAAATAAATAAATAAATAATTTAATTACTGATAATAAAGGACGTTTACGAATTTTTGAATATTTTGATTTATTTGATTGTTCTTAAAACAAAATAAAAATAATTGAATTCGAATAAAATAAAAAAACAAAAAACAAAGTTTTTATTACTTTTCTTTTTTTGTTTAGCTAAACGCATTTGTTCAAGATGTTGTACCATTTTATTTCGTATTTCATTTTGATCAAGAGGTTTTTCTTCGTATTCATCATCATCATCATCAGAATCTTCATCTGAATCTCGTCGTTTTTTTCGTCGACGACGTTTTATATTCGATTCATTTTCATTTTTTTTTCTTTTTAATGATTCATTATCATGTTGAGATTCATCAGAATTATCACTACTACTACTATTACTACTACTTAATCCACTTAAATCATCAATATCACTTAATTCATTAATTAATTTATCAATATCAACTATTTCAGTTTCACGTGTATCAAGAACTTTGCCAACAGATACATTTGAATAATCAGTATTCGCTTCACGTACACGTTTTTCATATTCTTGAAATGATAATTCGCCTAGACAAACAGTCAAAATGTGATTATTGTAAAATTTTCAAAATATTTTCAATTAGAAATTTCTTAGTTTTTAATACAAACCATTAAGATAAGCAAGTGTTTCTGCAGCTCCAGCTTTTTCACTTTCACCGGCTTGTAAATCTCGAAAATGTTTTATAAATTTATTTGATGTAGTCATTGCTATACTGGAATATAAATGAAAAGTAAACTATACATTAATGAATGAAATAAAGATCAAACTGTAAAACAAAAAACCTGATTGATTGAAAGTTCTCCAACTACATCACTATTGCAGTACATCATAACCAAATCTTGAGTAGAGAAAAGAGAGGGCGCACTATATCAATGTTTTATCAAACTCTCATTGGATATTTTGAACACATCCCGATTGAAGTCTCATCCAGTCGAATCCCGATGGTATTGAAGTATTTAGTTTTGCTTTTTGTGATTATTATACAACATATGCGCAAAATTCCATTTTTGACTCAACTCTGAGGGGAAGTAGAGGGAATTTTCTGTTAAAAAAATGTCTCAAAAATATCAGTGAAATACATATAAGTCGAATTAGTTTTTGATATTGACTCAGAATATAATATCAGTTTTGATCAAATTATCATTTTTCTCACGGAAATCTGGTATATATCAGGCGAAAAAGGCTCAAGTTTTTAAAAGAGTTGTAAGAGGCTAATTGTTCAGTTTTATATGTTCTCTTGAATGAGATGTTGCCCAACCGGAACGGACAAAAAAATGATGAAGATACAAGTAAAACAATGACATTGGTTATTTTTCCCGGTTTTTGAAATCCCTTTCTTCTTCTAATGCTTATAGCTCTGCCAAATCAAATCACAGAAACCTAAAAATCTTCCCACAACTCCAGTTTGGTTTGAAGAATCGATTAATGTAAAAGAACATATATGTAACATTTTTTCCTAAACTCAACTTTCTTCATGCGATCAAAAAAATCTCTCTGAAGAAATCTCAAAATAGGAAGTCTAGTAAACAAAAGAAACTCGTACTATCTTTTCATCAATAATAATATTCTTTTACAAATTGAGATACTTTTCAGCTGTGTTAAATAATTATTTCCAATAAGAATATATTGAACTTCTCAATTATAAAGAAATCCCATATCACTATTGAAAAAATTCAACCAAAACGTAACATAAATGTATTCAAGTTTTGCATTGTATGCCTTCATAGAACTGAAGTAATAAACTTTTTCTTAAAAAAAAACTGCTTGTTGAATTGATATAATAAGTGCATTAGTTTTTCGACGGCCTAAGTCTTTTACAATCAAAAATTGGTTAAACAAAACAAAAGTTAACAGAGAATCTAAAAACCCATGGAAAAAGTACCAATTATTTTAAAGACTTACAAAAAAAATTCTTTTTTTTTTAATTTGATCTCATCTCATAAATATCTAGAGAAGAAAATTGTTTCGATTTATTTAGTTTGTTTATAATAAACATATTACGCCACCTTTCTTTAATATATTCATTGATTAGCATTAATAAATCAACCAATGATATTATTGTTTATACTTATGACTAATTAGAAGAATGAAATACTTTTATTTTTAGTTATTCGCGAATAGTCATTTACTTTTTTTGGTAAGAAGTCATAGTGAATAAAAGATAATTCTATTCTATTATCATTATTTTTAGATTATTTCATTTTAACCATGGAAGGTAAATTTTATTTGAAAGTTAAGTTTTTTTGTGAATTTTCTTTTTTTTTTTTAATATTTCTTTAATAAAGGTTGTCCTCGTCTATCTACCATTGGTTTTGATCCAAAAGTATCTATTGAATCAGTTGATTTATGTGAAAAAATTCCTAATGTATGTTTAGTTTTATAAAATATTTTTTGTTTTTCTTTCATAGAAAATTTTAGTATATAACATCAACTTATCAAGAAAATGGTAATAAATATTCTCAAGAATGTGAACAAATGAATCGTCTTCGACAAGTAAATTTATTTATTTTATTCAAATAAAATTTATTAAATATTTCTAGACTACAATTAACTCTTCCGCCGATGAAAATGGTATTCAATTACTTAAACGATATTATTGTCAATTACAATTATTACGAAATCGTTTTCCTATGTTACCTGATACAGAATGTGCTGTTCGATTTACATGGTAAAATTTTCTATAGAATGAAAAGAAAATTTATTTTTTCAAAAAAATTTAAGGGAAGATGCTTTTCAAAAAGAAGATAATACATATAATGATATTCGATTTGAAGAAGCATGTATTTTATATAATCTTGGTGCAATGTATTCACGATTAGGTGCTAATGAATCACGACGAACACATGATGTATAAAAATAAATAAATTCTTATCTTTTATATAAAAGAAAAATTTATTTTTTGTAGAGTATTAAAAATGCTTGTACTTATTTTCGATGTGCCGCTGCATGTTATGAAAAAGTACGTGATCAATATACAACATATACATCTGATTTAACTCCTGATTTATTAACATGTCAAGTTCATATACTTTTGGTAATTGAATTTTTTTATTTTGTATAAGTGAAAATAATTTCGTTTTTGAAGGCACAAGCACATGAAGCTGTACTTGAAAAATCTTTACTTGATCAACGAACACCTTCGGTAAATGCTCATGTAGCTATGCAAATATCGGAATATTATCAAATGGCACTTCTTAATCTTATGAAACCAGGAATTAATTCAATTGTATCAAAAAGATTTCGAGTATGTTTTTAAAAGTTAATATTTCGATGAACATCTACTGATAGATGATAATAGGAAAAAAAAATAATAATAAAAGGTTAGGAAAAATAAGTTTTTACAATGATCAATTTATGAGTCCATTAAGGAAATAGAACAAGCATGAATGTTGAGTATGTTTTACTGAAAATTTTGGATAATAACAAAACTTATCTTTGGATCTTTAAAATGAACATACATTTCCAATACAAAACATCAAACAAGATGGTTTTGAGAGTATGTCATGATGAAGAGTATACTTGTTAATTATAATATTTTATAATACATCTTAAATATTGATTAGATAGTCCTTTTTTTTTTCAGTAGAATTATAGTGCATTTGTCTAATAAGCAGATGATACTAAGTTCGAATCCTACGATTGGATTATTTTGTGTCTTAACATAGTGATATATATTATGCGATTAATAGTACTGGATTCACATAGTTTCTCTGTTCATACAATGTGAACCAATCAAGATCGCAAAATTAAAAGTCTCTTAAGCATGAAAAAATAAAAATCTTTAATTAAAATATTGATTTTAAATGTTTGAAGACAATACTGATTTATTATTTTCTAGGAATGGCGTGTTTGTTTAACATATAAATTATCATATTATTTAGCTATAACATATTATTGTTGTGGTTTAGTAGCTGAAGAAAGTAAAAAACATGGTCAAGCTTTATGTTATTATGAAGCTGCTGTTGAACGACTTAAAGAAGCATGGAAAAATGCAGAAAAAATATCATCAGATAAAACAAATGCATTTAAAGATGCACATACGTTTACTAATGATGTTATCATGGGAAAGTAAGTTAATTAGAATTTTTGTTTTTTTTTTTTTAAATTTTCTCATGAATATTTTTCTTCTTATTGAAATAGATATAAAGTTGCTAAACGTGATAATGATAGTGTTTATTTTGAAAAAGTACCAACATTATCAAGTCTACCAGCTGTTCAAGGAGCTATTGTTGCTAAACCACAACCATTTGATTGTCATGATCCAGATGTGTGTGGATCGGATATTTTTCAAAAATTAGTACCATTGGTAAATATAGAATATATATATAAATAAGATTGTTCAATTCGAATTCTTTTATTTTTATAGGATGCACATTTAGCTACATCAGAATATAGTGAAGAAAAAGCTAAACTTTTACGTGAAATTATTGAATTAACAGAAAATAAAAATCGAGAACTTGAGTAAGAAAATAAATTTTGTTTTATATATATATGTTTTTCTATTTAATATTCTATATTTAATTATAGAACATTTATACTTTGTTTACAATTAAATCGTGTTCCATTAAATAATGAATATCTTCGTTTACCACGTGAATTACTTGATTGTTGTGCGGCTGTTACAGCTCATCCAAATATGAACAAAGAACTTGTTTCAGCTATGCAACGTATGTTTATATACTTCCGATAATTATCATAGAATATATAGTATTGCTAAAGCCTTTGTATATTTATGCACGGATCGAAAGTTTTAAGACAAAATATTTGTTTATTTTGAGTCGCTTTGAAAATGTTTACAAGTAGTCAAAAACAATGGATTAGAATTAGTATATTTTGTACCTTTTATCATAGTTTTTAAAGACCAAAAAAATTAGATTGAATAGTGAACCAATAGATTTTTGTTTAGCCCTATAAGTTAATTTTCGAAAGTGCCAAAGAGTATTGAACATAGTTGTTTTGTCGAGCGGGCACTTCTTAACAAAATTTTAAGCTGTGGCTTTATCTAAGTAAAGCTATAGGCACTTTGCCAAGAGTTTCTTTCTATATAAAGCATGTTTTAGTTAAATGACTTTCAGCAAACTACCCAGGTCCAATAGAACGGCGAAAAACGGCGCCGCAATCCGTCATACCAGATTACGGAAGCAAAACCGGGGGAAAACGATGGCCGTTTTCTAGCGATAGAAACAGCTCGTAAAATTGTATGACGGATCACGGTGAAATAAGGCCAAAATTAAGGCAGTAATTTGCCGTTTCCGACGGTTGGAATGATCGACCTAGGTAATCATTAGTGTACCGTTTAATAGAGAAACGCTCGCTCGTTGATTCGCTATATTTAAAATAATCTTCGCTTTTATGTAAGGTAACTTTTAGCATCTTAAATTTCGATCAAATTTAATTTATGGACCTCTAGCAGATCAATTAATTCTTTTTTTGTGTTTATATAAATCTTTCAGAACTTAATAGTCAACATCATGAAGTAACTGAACAAGTTGATGAATTTGAACAATCATTAAAAACTTTTGAAGAAAATAATGATTCTATAAAATCCAATAAAGAATATAAAGATTTACAATTAAATTTAAAAACAATTCGTGATATGATGTTACAAGCTAATGAAAGTAATATTGAATTACATCGACATATGACAACAATAATTGAACATTTAAAAATTCTTAATTCACCACTTGAACAAATAGAAAAAACTTTACCTGTTATAACTGAACTTGATGGTAAAAAGATTTTTTTTGTTTTAATTGAAAATTATTCGTTTTTTGTTTTTTTTTTTTGAATTATTCAGATGAAGCAAATAAACCAAAAATAGCTCGTCTTGCATTATTAAATGAAAAAATTGAAACAATGAAAAAACAACGTGAAATGTTATTAAATGAATTTCGTAAAAAAATTCAAGATGATGATATAACAAAACTTGTTCTTATGCAAAGACAAGAAAATCATAAAGTAATTTATTTATCAAAACAAAACAAAAAAAAGCAAATGTTTCATTTTCAATTTTATTATTTTTCTTTAGACTTTGTTTTCTGAACAAGTTAAAAAACATGAAGAACTTGTTAATATCATTAAACAAAATTGTATTGCACAAGATAATATTTTACAATCATTAACTGAAGCTAATGCAGATATTGCTGATATAAGAACAAAAATGGGAACAACATTTGAAACGTAAATATAAAAAAAAAAAAACAAATTCGTCAAAAAGAAAAATTGTATTTTTCTTTTTTTATTGTTATTAGTCGTAATCAATTAATTCAAGAATATATCAATTCATTTAAATCATTTGAAGATACTTTATCAAAAGCAAATGAAGGCATTGAATTTTATAAAAAGGTAATTTAAATTCTAAATTACCAATTTATCTCGCTTTTTTTATAACTCGATCTATAGTATGTCCTAAAAATCAGAGAATATCTTGCAAAATGATGAAAAGATCATGTGAGTCGATTGAGTCTTTGAAGAATTATTGTCGTTTTATTTTGCAGTTGACTTTTGACACACACTGTAAAAGCAGTCTTGAATTATAGAGGTAGAAATTAGAATTTAATAGCTTCCTACACAGATATGATAGACATCGTAGCAATAAGTCATCACAGACCGTATATCACTATATACATGACTACTTCCTTATTACATTCCTCAAAAATGAATTAAAAGACTGATGAAGAAATGTGCCCGAAAATAGATAGAATAAAACAATATTCCTGCGATATACAACAGCAACTACATCATGTTTCATATTTTAATCCTGTAGGGATTGTGCTAATAGCTTCACTTTTTTTTGTTTTATCTAAATAGCAAATTGTTAAATTGATAAAACTAAATGATCGTCTTAATACATTACAATCTCAACAACAACCACTACCACCGAAGCCTTCATTTCGCCGTCAATTACCATCAAGTATACCTTCTAATCATAGTCCATTACCGACTTGGTCTAATCAAGATCTTCCTGAAGCTGATTTTTCAATGAATAATTTACCAACGACTGCATCTGATCGACCGCGTCTAAAAGATTATTTAGCTGCAATGAAGCCTGACACTTGGGGTTCAAGTACAGGTCGATCATCTAAACGTTCATCTACTAAACGTGAAGAAAATATGTATATGCCTCTACCAGGATCAAATATTGGAGATAATAGTAATTTTTATACGAATACGCCACCATCATCTAGTCCTTTATATTCATCTGTACCAAATACAACTGGAACAGCACTTACATCATTGCCTAGTTTTAGTCCACATCATTATCGAAGACAATCACCAATACATTCTGAACAACCATCAATGCCATATATTCCTCCGTCGACACAATCATCATCTTTTGCACCGCAACATTCAATAACATATCAACAACCTCAACATAATCAATCATATCCGATTGATCCTAATTCAAATTTACTTGCACAAAATTTTCGTAGTCAACCACAAATGACTTATAATCCTCCTCCTACACAACCATATACTCAACATCAACAATTCCATTCTTCACAAGCTATTCCTCGACCTAGTACTCCAACTCAACAAACGTTCCATCAAGCACAAATTCCACCGCAACAATCAGTTCATCAGCCATCACCTCCTACTCAGCAACTAGTTTATCAGCTGCCACCACCACCACCACCACAACAACAACAATCATTTCCTCCATCGACTCAACAACCAATTTATCAACCAATCCCATCTCAACAATCATTTCAGCAACCACCTCAACAACCGATTTATCAAACATCTTCATTCCAACAACCAACATATCAAACTCCTTCTACTCAACAAACAACAAACACTTCATTTTTTCATCAACCATCTCCACAACAGCAAACACATCAGCATTATCAACAAATGCCACAACCATCACAAACAATTCCAAATCAACCACTTCCTCCTCAATCAACATTACAACAGCCAACTATGCATCAAAGTCAACCTTTCGGTGATCATAATCGTTCTACGCATCAACCTTCACTACCAGCAAAATTCGATCCATATCGTCCACAACCCGTAGGAGCTTATGATATTCCCAAATCACAGAATCCACCATTCACGTCGCCACCGCCACCTCAACAGCAACAAACTATTTTACCACCTCAATATCAACAAATAATTTCACCACCTCAACAGCAACAAATAATTTCATCATTTCAACATCAACAAATAATTCCACCATCCCAACAGCAACAAACAATTTCACCACTTCAACCACAGCAAATAATTTCACCACCTCAACAACAACAACAACAACAACAAATAATGCCACCACTTCAGCCACAACAAATAATTCCACCAACAGCTAGTATCAATCCGCAAGATGTCTATCGTCCTGGTGGTTTATTTTCAACAAATCAACCTCAAGTTCCATCATCATCAATTAATAATAATAATTATGACTCAAGTAAAACTGTGCAATATATTCCTCCTCCTGCTCCTATTGTTCCTTCTTCATCTAATACGAATTTACCAATAAATTCGACATCAAAACAGTCTTCCATACCCCATATCGCTGATGATCTATTATCATTAGCTCTCGAACAACAAGCAGAAACAGCCATAACAACAAACAACATTGTACCTAATAGTCCAGAACCTCCTTCAACTAATTCATTTGATGAAGATTTACACATAAAAAGTAATGGTAAACCAATTGCTTGTATTCAACCATTATCAATGATTATTGAAGAAAAACAATCAACTCAATCACTTGTAACACCTACAACTAGTTTACATCCACCACAAGATCCATATGATGATAAGGATAAACTTGATCAATTAGTTGGTGATGTACAACGTTTTGAAAAACATGTTAGTACCATGACAAAAAAAATTCTTAATGGTACAGTACCACTTGAAGTCGAATGGAAAGTAGGAATATAAAAAAAATAAAATTACTTTTTAAATATTAATTTATTCATAGGAATTATCGGATTTGCAAGAAAAAGATGTACATACACAGACTTGTGCAATTGGAAAATGTAATCCAAAATTAAATCGTTTTCAAGATTTAATTCCATGTAAGTTTTAATATTTTATCGAAAGTCGACGAGGACGGATAATACTATTCTCTAGCTTCTGTTAAACTTAATGTTTTTGTATTGGAACCAAGTTAAGAGCGGCTTCTGAATCATATTTCTTGAGATAAAATACCACACAAGTAACATCACAATTTTCGGGACATGAAGTGCTCTTCACTCCTTCGGAATTTGGAAACATTTTTTTTCTTCAATTTCAATAGACCTGGATATATCGATTCTAGTATGCTCATTACGATTATGATATTAAGAACGAATACAATTGTATTCTGTACGAGGTAGAGCGAGCTCATTGCCGTCACTCATAAGATTCCAGTCACTATTCTATGGTGTTTTGAAAAGAATTGAAATAGATATACATGAACATTTTCTAGAAGATTCTTAGAAATTACGGGAGAAATCATACGATTCGCTGGTAAGCCGATAACACCATCGTGCTTCTCATGATCAAAAGTATATGTATCCAAGTTTGTGAAGCCAAATATAGTCGCTGTAAAGCATCACAATACGAAGGAATATGCAATACACGGAATATAAGTCTTTGTTCTCCTAATTCCCAATATTAACTAAAAATTTTGAAATCTTGGATATATATTTTTAATCATGAAGAACATAAGGACGCTATCATTTTTTAGATATCGATATGATGTCTACCGAAACCTGCAAAAATCTTCTGAAAAATCTTGATGCACACCTTACTCATTTTCACGAATTTTTTGATTGAAGCAACATCAATCAGTTTCATATGTAAACAGACTAAGAAAAATCAATCATAGACACTGAAACATTCATTTTGACTCGGTATCGCCAGTTTCTTGCTGAATTTGACTTGAACGGTTTTTTTCAAAACTATATTCAGTTAAGATTTAAGTCCAAAGCTAGCGCAGTCGAACTAGAAAATCTTATAGTTGACCTCATTCAGCTCGCTCTACCCCACACGAAATACAATTCTATTCGTTCTAAATATCATATTCATGATCAACATACTCGAATTGATACATCCAGGTATGTTACAATCGAAATTGAGAAAAATATCTACAAGCCATCCCTCACTCGATTCCAATAAAAAAATCTCAAATGCATGAGGGCTCAAAAAAAATGACCTTATCCGTCGTCGTCATTTTGTTGAGATTTGAATATTTATTTTATTTCATAGATGATAATTCACGTGTTCGTCTTGTACAAACAAATCCTAATCAACAAAAACATTTTAATGATTATATAAATGCAACATCAATTGGAGTAAGAAAAAAAGAAACGAACAATAAAAATTTATATGTTTGTGATTATAGAGAATTCGTGATGCATCACTTTTGATTGCTCAATATCCAATATCGACAACTATTGGAGATTTTTGGTCAATGATTTATGATCAACATGTAGCTATTGTTGCTGTACTTTTAAGACTTGATGAAATGCAATCTATTGTATGAAGATATATATTTTTCTTTTGCATTTTATTTAAATTAATTTTTTTAAATAATTTATATAGAATGTTTATCCACAAAAAGTTAATGAAGAACTTCAATTTTCACCATTTACAATAACATTACTTAGTACAAAGAGTCAAAGTCAATTGACTAATCATAAAATAATACGTCTTCATCATGCACAAGTATATATACTCATAAATTTCTAAAGAATTGAAAATGGTTTTTTTTTTCTAATTAAAGACAAATCAATCAAGAACTGTAGTATGGCTCGAACATCTTGGTTGGCCACCAAAGTACGTTGTGTTTGGGTAAAAAAAAAATGGTATTCAATTCGTTTCTTTTTTCATCGTAGAGAAATGCCAGACAATCCAATTGAATTATTAAAATTTATTCAAGAAGTAGAACATTTTCTTATTCAAACACGAAATCGACGAAGTACAATTCTGGCTACTTGTTTGTATGTTTCAACAGTTCATACTTTCTGATTGATTTCAAAAACAAAAATTAAAACTTTGAAAACTTAAAAAAATAATATTACAATTCTCAACGAACGAGAGAAAATTTTTAAGTGTAGATTATATCTATCATGTAGGTTCTAATGAGCTATGAATACTTTGTCCTCAAGAAAACTAACTTTCAAATTTCTATTTGAAATTTTGAATAGAAGTAGATCTTCATGAGAATAGTTTATTGTGAAAGCTTCAAATATTTTGATTGCCTCTACTCTAAAATACGGCTATGACAAAAGCATATTTTTCACACCGCTCACATATAACAGCAAATTTCGATGTCCTTACTTTAGAATAGGCGCAATCGAAAACAATTGAAACTTTCTCAATAAGCTACTCTCGTTAAAGTCTGTCTCTATGTACAGTTTCAAGTTGAAAATCGAAAGTCAGTTTTTCTAATGCCCTTGAGGCGAAGTGTAGTAGTAAAAATACAATCTCTCAGCAGTAATAAGCTATTAGCCCGAATTTTTCTAAGAACATTCATAGCTTATTAGAATCTGCTTGATGGACAAAGCTCCGACTCAGAAAGCGATTTACCACTTAGAAACATTTCGTTGTAAAATATTTTAATACTCTATCGAAGAATGACGTATTAACAATACATACTTTAATTCAAATCCTATTTTTAATTTAATAGTTAACAATATAGAAATACGACTATAATATTTTGACGAAAAACTGGGATATATGTACGTTTGTAGAGAAAGACTTCGTCTATCCAACGGTATATATATTATCAAAATCCAGTGCGTACTAGTGAGACGTTCATAGGTGGCGCCACCTATGAACGTCCCACTATTACACGCCGGATTTTGATAACATATAAACCGTTGCTTGCCGGGAGACTTTCG